GGTCCGTCTCGTAAGATACAAGATTCCGGAAGGATTGTTAAATAATAAACAAGAACCAACATCAGGGCCACGGTAATAAACTAAAAATAACTATTTTTTTAGACTATTTAGACTCGCAACAAAACTATTTGCTTCGAGTCACCGACATGCGGAACAGACTCCGGGCTGACTGGCCATTGTGCGTGACTCAAGGTCATGAGGTCATGCATGAATCTCGTCGGCCAAAGCAAATCGTTTTAGTGCATTGGCAAACCTCACAGAATCTCCACCATCACCACCATCACCATAAATTACCCTTCACTGAAATCAAAAAGAATAAAAAACACTTTTCCGCATAATAAAGATATTTATCAGAATTCTTACTTAGTTGCTTCACTCTTCCTCCAAAAGATGGTCCGTCTCGTAAGATACAAGATTCCGGAAGGATTGTTAAATAATAAACAAGAACCAACATCAGGGCCACGGTAATAAACTAAAAATAACTATTTTTTTTAGACTATTTAGACTCGCAACAAAACTATTTGCTTCGAGTCACCGACATGCGGAACAGACTCCGGGCTGACATTGTGTTCCAATATGAACTCGTTCAAGAGCAAACTAGATGAAGCTATGAAGACGCATATGTTTTAACTAGAAGCGCCTCCCACCTCACAAATTGCTGGATGTTTAGCACCTACTTCAACGTCAGTTCTAGATAGATCTGGTTACAAGGCCAGTCCTGAGATCTCCAAGAGACAAGTCAAGAACATTACAAGAATCGGCGGCAGTCAAAACGTGGCTTATTTCTTCACAGCCCATTCTACTCTACTATATTGTTTCTTTTTTCATACGGAGGAAGATTACAGATCAGATGAGATTAACTCTGAGGTCGTGAAACTTGCAACAATTGATTCCTCATTGTAAAATGTTAATTAGCCGAGTAATAACTTCCGCAACAAGAAAAATTGGCTAATGTTGATAGTGGAAATAGCCAGTCTCAATAAATAAATTATTAAAAAAAACAAATTCTTCGGTTGTACGCTAGATAAATAAAATCCATATTTATTTTTTAAGGACATCTCAAAACTTAGTTGGGGTTTATATACATAAGACTCTGAACATAAACCTTACGCATCAACATACCATTCGAGTTGGAATGAAAATAACATAAAGAACCTCAGCATCCGTCCGGAAAGTGAGAGGTTAACCAGTACTGCAGAGCCCAGTCAGCTGCTGGCAGGGTTTACCGCTAGAGCGTCATGACGCGACACATCACCTTAGCAGAGGCAGCTACTTTCACTAGAACAGGAACTCCACGCGACTCACTTCGCAGTCATTCACATGGCGATCACTCACAAGCCCTAACCTACAACCGGACTTTGGTCAGATCGGAAGTAAATAAAATATTACAAGAGGCCGTACGCAGTTAATGGCTGGTAATTGATGTTGATATTAAATTATATTCTGGTTTATAAGCCTGTAAAATGAATATCATGTCAAGAGCTCAAGGCTTATGTTATAATTCAGAAAAAGCTAGAATCTTAGTATTAATTAAAAAGTGATACAATTCATGACAATAAATTATATTGAAGTTGAAAAAATAAGTTGAACAAGCGTAAGTTCTACAAGATTTAGGATTAGAATTCCGATTATCTCTAAGAATGCCTTATAAGACGCCGTTTGTTGATGAAAGGCCGATGATGACACTCATTGTCTCGATGATGATGTTTGTACGATAGTGAACATCAGTTGATAAATGGTTCTATTGAGTGAAAGATGACATTAAGGTAACGCAACGCAGCAAGCACAAGTGTTCCGAAAGAATAATGAGAAAATATTATATTCCTTTTAAAAAGCAAAGAAACGCAGTGAGATGAACTTTATTACCCAGACTTGAAATTTCATATCTCAGGCATACATTAAAAATGTATACTAATTTGGTGATTCGAAGAACGACGCTTCATGTGAAAACGGTTTATAACTTCAACCGATTCAAGTAGCTGTCCAAACTGGAGATAAAAGCGCGACACTTCCACCAGATACCCGTCGTCTGGACTACACTGCAATCTATTAGCTTCAATATCATGTACTTGTAGTGAGATAATAAGCGCTTCTGTGTTACAGACAGAGTTTTGCCTTCGTCCTCGTATGGCTAACCGGCTTTCAGATCGAGCCTGCTTTTAAGGGCTTCAGCAATTCTAGATAAACGAAATTCTGTAATATTGAATGTTTACTGTGACTTCATTAATCTTCTCTTGGACATCAATGCACTACGCAACATTTCTCAGAAGAGCATTCCTGTCGTACGTGGATCCTTAATTATTCTAGTGGATCATATGTGGATTCTCCATAATTCACAGCGACCGGTAATTTTCGCGAAGCCGAGCTATAGGATTGAATTTATAACCATGTTATTTTGGAATGCTTCGTGAACATCATGGATCTACAGGCAAGGACTGAGGCCTTTATCAACCAAGAATATATTGGGGGATTTTTAAGATGGATTGTTCGGATAGCATCCACTGGAGTCGCAAACTCAGCTCTGCAGGCAGTACATGATATGGTGCGTGGCATCAACACACAAGAACTAAATGAAAAAGTTTTTAGCAGGAATAAATATCAGATTTTTATAACCCGAACCGTGCTTCGGAAAGGTCATATGCAAACAGACACAGTGAGTGAACTTTTTAATGCACCAGTGTTTTTACCAAATATTGAACTTTGCGCAATTATGTCATATTTAGGTACTACCGGAGCTTCATACATATACGGAACGTTGGAAGCATCTGCATTAGGCGTATCGTTATGCCGATAAAAATGACACGTAACTCCGAATAGCGAATGTAAAGATTGCGAGTGCGCTTGGCATCGGTGTGTCTTCCAAGCAAATTTGTACCACGAATTTAATTTGGAAGATCCAAGTAACTACAAAAATTGCAGAAATTTCTGAGAATACCGCCCAGAAGCTTCATTCAATAACAACTGAGATTGATAGTGTTAGGTTATCGGGAAGGCTGAACGGCATCAGTCGAATCAATGGGTTATAATGGACGGATCAAACAACAATTAATAATAAAAAAATTAATATATAGGAACGAAATAATCTTAGCAACCAAAATGAGGTGAAATCTCTGGAGGAACAGTGCAAGGTCCTTTGTAGTAAGACCAGGCAGTTAAATAAGTCCTCTGACGGTGATAAAAGGCTGTGGTAGTCTGGATAGTCGCAATAGTTTTGCGGTTAGCTCGGGTATCGCATATATTGTTTAGTCTCCCCAACCTGAACTATGGCGCTGGCAGCCAGAGTAGGAGTGCCTTGAGACAGGCTAATGAATTCATATTATGGCGCCGAATGTGAATATTACCCTAACGTAAATTAGAAATGCCCCCACTTAGCTTCATTCCTACATAGAAATTTAATCATTTACAACCAATGAATTATACGCCGTAAATGTGAAAAGAATTCAAGGTTTGGGAACAGTCTCAAATAAAGGCATGAAGGTAGTAATATTTAGTTGTTATATAGAGGTTTACGTAAATTAATTGATCGGGCGAACAATTTAAGACGTCTGAAGATTTGAACGTGATTAGTGGATTTATGATGTTTAGCAGAATTAGTATTTAATTAACGAATTAATAACGTTTGATTATTGCTATCAATCGGGAAGGGAAAACATCCGCTGCCTAATTAACAAACATAAGCAAAGCGCGCAGGATATGGTGTCGTCTAAGAACTACACATCCATTCAAAGCCTCAATAGAATATTCCTTAATTACGATTAAAGCTATTCTATTATCCGGTAATGGCAATATCCATCATTCCTAAACTTGTTAATTTCTGGGTTAATTGAGAAGCAGCAAATGGAAGGCAGTCTTGACGTCGCCCAGGCACTGGAGTAGACGCGTGTTGTTAATTATTGTAATGCACGGCTGAATTTATAGGCCACCTCGGTCATGACCAGGCTGCCGGGTTAACAACAATACAGTTAATGGCTTTTGGCCTATACAACAGGGATTTATATTTAAGGTAAGCTCAATTCGCACCTTAGATAGAGTGTGTGAATTACGTCTGCCCATCAACCTATCACTAAAAAGACGTGAAATCATGAACTAGCAAATACCTATTCGCTTTGACGCGCTAATTTCAATAGTTGAGAATAATTTATCGCCAGAAGTACGGTTAAAAATGGAATGTTTGGTGCATTTTAACCTTTACATATGATGGTTAGGGCACGCTACAGGCCGGGCATGCCATGAGACACGCCGAGAAAACCTGGCACAACAAGGCCTCAGCGACCGCAAAGAGCCGCCTGAGATATCGAGGTTACACCTCCAGGAACCTGTCACCGTTACGAGACCTTGCCAGTCTCACTGCTGGTCAACTGCCATCATCACTGCGATATTAGGAACAGATTCACATCGGAATAATATAATGCGATTTTGCTCCGAAATTTTTCGTCCTAACTCGTTTTCAAATTTAATGCGGTGAATGCCGGTGATAGGGGCACTTACAGCTAGGTAATAAACGTTGCCGAAATAGCGATTGATCGACCATAATTATGAAAAAGTTTTTCCCAATTACTATCAAACTGACACGATCATTTTTTTGTTTATGGTATTAACAATAGAGAACAACAATATAAGTATTAAGGAGGCGCGTGACATTGTAGTTCGCAGGCGATGAAAAAATAAATTCGAAGCTGTCAAGTTTACTCAAGTTTTAATAACTCGCAAATATGGTGAGGCAGTGAGGAATACACAAAATTTTGCGATAGTGCGTCTTGTATGCAGGCATCAGAACAAATCATTGATTGAACGGTAAATGTCGGCAATGTGGTTACCGTAGACAACTTCATAACGCGAACAGGCACCTTTCGAGAAACTAGTTTCGACGAGCACCACACAAAAATTCAATAAACACCAATGAATTCGCAGGTTCTATACTATGAAATGAAAATGCAGTGAATGTCATACCTCATGTGTAAAACTAAAACTTGTCTATCAATTTTGAGCCAGAAACTTACGACTAGGCGGCATGTCCGAGGCAGGCCGTTTTCCTTCAGAGTAGAAACTAGTAAGTGACACTTTGATTCCTATAGTTATCAATTCCTTCAAGAGTACATGCGTACTTGAAGGACAAGAACTGTAATTGGCTCTATAAAATTTTCGAACATTCGGGCTCTCTTAAACCTATAACATGGTAGAGCCTCGCTAGTCGCTGCACAAATCCTATAGCAGAGTACTCGCTCCGTCCACCCTAACCGTTGCTCTGCAGCACACTGAAGTGACTGAGGTCTCAGAGTCTGAGAGACTGAGGAGCGACTGAGCGAGGCCAGCGTGCTCCCACTCATAGTGGCGGCGAGAGAAAATCGCCGACTCCGAGGCTTGAACCTTACGTGAAAACTGATGGAGAACAAACGAGTTCTTTAAATACTGGATTGAAGCATGTTGCTAACAAATCATTGATAGTCAGTGGCTAAACAGAGTGTTACAAATTTTTTTCCTGTTTTAACGAAGACAATTAATGAATTCATATTGTATTATAAAAAGATTAACAAGAAACTTATCCTTGCATTGACGTTTTAGGGGTGCGACCATGAAGCAATGTAAAATAAGGTAAAGAAATTTAGATTATTCTTGACTTCTAAAATGTCCACATTTATTTGACGTAGAAGTGCAACATTTCCATCTTTTTGGCCATGAAGTTTCAGGACCACAATGATAGCTGGGATGAGATTTAATAATTGAATTATCATAGTCCATGGGTGGTCTAACCGTGCATCACTCTTAAACCGCTATTAGAGTCATATGAATTTACTTTAGTTAGTGTAGCAACGTTCACACATTTTTAACCACTTTTCCTAGAGGAGTTGTCGATTTCTCAAAACCGAAGATATAACAGAAATTTAATTAACTGTAATCACTGAGTAGGGTGGCCCAGTGGTTACAGTTCAGAGTACCAAGATTGGAGCAGAGAGGCGCGTGTTCGATCCCATCTCTGTGCGCCAGTTTCTGTCAGAATGGGCAAGGAGGCCGGGCAGTTAAGCACAGCAAAATTGTAGCAGTGAGTTGCGTGTTCGAGACCTCAAAATACTGTGAATGTTATGCGATGTTAAGAATCGGCGATAGGCCTACGGCCTACTAAACGCTGAAACCGCTATGATTATTATTATTTTTATAATTATTCATGTAACCAAATTATTTCGAATTTTATTAATCGATCGACTGAACTCGGATCGACCCTTGAGTCGTTATTATCATGAATGTCCAACATATCTATTCTTAAAGTTGGTAAAGAGAATTCTCACGACCCAACAATTGATTGAATGAGAAAATTATCCTGCATGTAAATATCAATATAAATTACTGACTTGGACGGGACTATTTAGCATTAGGCCTAAATTCTCAGGTTATGGATTACTGTGAGTGGTCTGGAAATCTTGTATTCATGACGTGAAGCACGACCGGAACTCGAATCTGGTCAGCTTATGACTGGTCAGTGAAGTCCTGCAATGAAATGTGACTGTCTATCAACTTCAAATGGCTTTATAATGCATGATCGCTCCGGCAGTGAATTACATTCGTTGTTTCACAGTGACCTTTTCAACACTGAATGAGAGACGAACGACGATGGATAATGGTCATCTAGGAGGATGAGGTTCCCTAAAACAAATAGACCATCACGAATAAATTTAGTATAAACAATGGTCGTTATGTAAATAAGATACAAATTGGATTCAAATAACCTACATCCTTGCGACATTATATTAAAAATTGTTAATGAAACCTGCTTTTCTATTGTGGGTAACTATTGTGATAAAATAGAATAACTGAGCAATGTTCGAGACGATATGTTCTTTACACCGTAACTTGAACATCTGCCTGAACGAATTAAAAATGCTGATGTACCAAAATTATTCTTTGAACATTGAGAGTTCAGTAATTTAAACACTCTCCTTGATTCTTGAAACCTTCAACGTTTAGTAATTTTGCTGTAACGCATAGTATGGCAGCGCCGTAAGAAAGTAAAAAATCAGTCTCGACTTCAGCCCGTTGCTGAACATCGTTCAGTGTTCATCAACACCAATTCAGAGTTACCGAAAACACATCACGTCGAGCTTGTTAACGATGTACACCCTGGCCAGACGTTCTGCCCGGCCTGTCCGACACGCCCTGCCAGTGCCCTAAGCTCGCCACCAGATCAAGGACACAAGCCCTCGACACATTAGGCCCGCAACAACCCTCACTTGACAGCGCCTTGCCGGACATGAGGGTGGCAGGAAGCCGGGAACTAACGCGCAGTTACTCCTTTATGGCTACTGTTGGCGAGGTGAGCTTGAAAAAAAATTTTAGGAAAGTGCTAAAATGAAAGCTATATAACACTGTAGGATCGTACATGAGCAGTACAAAACTTAAGTATATCGTGCCCCATTATCAAATTTAACCATAACCACAGAACAAATGGTGGTTAAAACTTCTCCTAGGGTTCATGGCCACACTCGTCAATCATTAATCAAGTTTGGGCCCCAATTTCAAAGGATTCTGATATCACGCGATCTTATGATGTTCCAAGTTTGCGGTGAAAAATGAAATAACATTTTCATTTTTTTCGTCATTTTGATTGTTTATTAGGCAGTAAATACTGGAACAGAAACTATTTCCATAAATCAATCGGAATATCTTCCGAATTAGTGACAGTAGTGAAGATATCATGAAACAGAAAAACCACTCCCGCATAAATAAAAACAAAAATTACGGGAATTCTCAGCTCTCAAGCTATGCCGCAACATAAATAAATAAATAAATAATGCACATCAAGATAAGTTGAAAGGTCAAATCGTCACAAATTTGCCGGGGATATAATGTATTTATTTATCAAAAATTAAAAAAAAATTACCAGTGCGACGAAGGGGCGGTGTTAAGCTGTGTTAGCAGTTCCGAAAAGGAAGCATCTCTCAACGAAATCGCAGTTTGGACTTGGTCTAAATACCATCCAGAAATTTACATAGAAGTGACGTGTTCATGCGATGAATAGGTTTCCTAAAGCACAAGCGAAAGCATCTTCAGGTAAGTTCAAAACTGCTCGGTACTTCAAACCAGAAAAGGCAGCTTTTCAACCCTAACAACATATGCTCAAACTCACGGAACGAACATTGCCAGATTATTTCACTCACAGGGTGATCGCCACTCATGGATAAATCCATCAAAGTCGTAGTAACTCAATATACTAAATGGCAATACATTAATATAGTTTTTTTTATTAATTATAGTTAAGAAGATATATACTACTGGAATAAATTTTAAATTATTCAAGTTATCGTAAAATAATATCCGAATTATGACAGGACAAATGATGAGTAACTTCATTATCACCGATTCATTCGCTCTCTAGTTACAATGTTTCGACAGCAGGACGACAGAGCGGTTTTGGAAGTTCACGGATGACACGGATAATAAACTGAAGCTAACGTAAATATGGACACGCAATTTCAGCATAATTAATAATTTTAAACGAAATGAACAACAAAACCCAAGATACATCGACAAAACAAATACAAAAACAGGTTTTGAACGAAAAATTACATTCTCATTGGCAGACTGGCATTGAATTAATAAGGTTTAATTCGATGCCTTAAACAGAGACGTAGTAAATTCCACGTAATTATTACTGAAAAAAGGCTAATTTAACGGAAGATCTTGGTTACTCTATTCCGGTTACTAGCAGGTCACGCCAAGAGCAACAGAAGGCCACAAAGAATAAACCCACATAATTTAAATTGAAACTGAATAAAAATGGCACAAAATGTAACACGGCATTGCAGACAGCCGAATGTCAAACGAGTGATTTCATCTGCGATGTGTAACACTTACATCTGCAATGCGAACGCCGACATCGTAGCAGCACACGGAGATAAGCGATATAGAGAATAAGTACGGACTACAGAAACACATCAAGGTGACGATTGAACACTAAACTATTTTACCAGCGCAGACCTGGTAAGAATAAAATAGACAAAACTTTCCCATGCAAGCTGACAGTTCCATACGCAAACTAACCCTGCATGGCCTTCTTCGAGCTTGGCGATGAGACTGGTGACGTTTCAGAGGAGTGGATTAGTGAAGCTACTGACGTGGTCCAATGAACCATCCCCAATATAATTAGAACACGTAACATAATAACCACCAAGTCAGTTGCCAAAACAGGTCTAATATAATAGATTACTCAGAATAGTTATAAAAAATCCACTATGTTTCAATTCAACAATATTGCACTACCTCTCAATTGTTAAAAAATATTCATCATGAATCATGTACTTATAGTTAAAAATGAGATTTCAAATTAAATCAAGTTATTTAATTTTGTGTCAATGAAGTCTTAAGAATTAATATGAACTGAAGTTCAATAGAAAATCTGCTTCCGGATTTGGAATACATGATGTAAAAGCATCGAAAAAAAAATTCATTCAATATTCGTGGCTGTGAAATACGTATATGGCGATTAAGTACCTATAAAAAATATAATAATATAAGGGTATATAGAGATTATTAAGAAATATAATATCGACATAAGTCCACAACAAATGCATGTATAGCCCCATATAAACCAAGCGAATGTTCGAGATGCATTGCTACAATCATCCATTCAAATACATCTCATATCATGAACAAAGTAGAGAATTAGTTATTGCCTTATTGGAAACATCCGCCTCTTGTTCGTAAACAAGACTTGAGATAAAACTAGATCTAATCAGCCTATCTGATGTAGACTTGTTTTTGTAGCAGTGCTTCATAACATTAGCTTTGGTTGTTTTACCATCGCTCTATCTAAGCTCGTTCAACGCAAGCTGCACTAGAGACTTTCCTAGTTGAGATGACCCCACAGCTTAACTCAACGACAAGCACATATGCAGGGTTGTGGCACAGCTGCATGACAAAAGTTCGGTGCGTATGATATCGCCATACAAGTAAGAGAATTTAATAATCTTACTGAAATAGATTTACGCAGGCGACAGGGCAATGTTAGAGAAAAACATCAATGCGAACATTCCAACATTTGATTAGAATTTAGATCGATTAAGATCGATGACAATGATTTAAATATCGTTCTGATGAGGGTCAGTTCGCAGACTCGGCAACTGACGTCGTCCGTTCCTTTATTCAGGGGCATACGTATATAATGACGCAGAGCTAATGGCCACAGAATTGAAGAGAAGAAAATGAGCACCAGAATAAAGTTGAAATTAATTCATTGAATACCACAACCGAAGCAAGTTTCAATTGATTAATCCAGAAAATTTGAACAATCAGAACGCAATTATGAAGAAAGACATGGACATCAGAAGACAAACGTCCAATGACCACAAGCATATGACCCCCGAAATCAAGAGTTAAATCCAGTTAGAAGAAAATACAGCTTTAAAAATTCCAAATAACTTCTTCCGATGTCAGTCATTGAGTAGTTTATGAAATATCAAATACAATAACGTGCAAACAGATTATTATCACGACCATAAAACATTTAAGAAACGTTCAAAACTAATGATTAGCTATAGGAATAATATAAATATTTAAAACAGCAGTCAAAAGGACAATTTGAAAATTTGGTGCAAGAATTACTGTTTGCCTTGTGGATCAGCTGATCAGTGCATCATATCATAATTAAATGCCGTTACCTAGCCTAGATAACTATTGCTTAGTATCACTGCCATAACCAAACACGCAAACATTAAATAAAAAGTAAACAAGCAATACCCATCCGAGAGCGGGACTGGCCACATCATTTTAAATGCCTGCAGAAGAACATGGACGTACTTAGAATGACAAAATAAGATACAATAATGGAAATTAATTATTATGTACGTGTATTTCGTAATTTTTCTGAAAATATGACGTGGAATTTCATTTCGAGCACTTTATTGCTTAGAAAAATTAAGACCTAACCGTCTGCTCTAGAAAACACGTGCTTTGGTGGTACAATATGAAAGCAATACATATCTACCGTTTGCAGATTCAAGTGTTAGGATAGAATTCTTCGTGATCTACATCAAACACAAAAAGTTCGTCATTTTCGTGTGCAGTAGAGGTGGCAATGAGGACTCTTCTCATGACGAGGGCAGTGAGTAGCGCGATGCACAGCACCAGAAGGCAGCTCACGGTCCTGTTGATGAGCGCCTCAGACGCGACGGGTGGGGGCGGCTGGCTGGGCCTCGGCAGCCTGACCGTTGATGGAGGCACAACGCCTGCACCACTGACGCTATTCTCTTCAGACGAGACTCTTGCACTGGCGTTGCATCTCTGGTTTAGAAGGCTAGGACTGTTGAACGAAGATTCAGGTGAACTTGTAATATGATTACTAGAAACATTAGAAACGGAATCAGTAGAGGATGCACAGCTATTAGGAACCGTCAATGTAGAATCGGGTGGCGTGGTCACGCAATCATTAATAACAGTCTCTTTTGCAGTTTCTAAGAAGACAGCTTTAGTAGCAGCCTCAGGTGAAGGAAATGTAAAAGCGTCTGTTGTTGTCGGCTCAGCATTTGAAGTCACGGGACTAATGCTTGCAGCAGACGTTGACGAAGACTCTGACACTGGCTTGCCATTGGTGTCAGCTGAATCTTGGACCGGCTGACACTCTTCCTGAGTTCTTTGAACTTCACTATCAGCAGAAGATGCGAGAGGCTGGAATGTAATAATTGTTTTTTTTTTTAATTCAAAACATGCACAATTTATTAGTTAAAAACGGTATGCAAATCAAAATAATAAGTTTTTATCAATAACTATAATTTTAACTACAAATAAGCTCGTTAGTTATTCTAAACTACAATTAGGCTCGCCTCATATATCCTCCCAAAACATTGTGATGTAGATAGAGATTTTAATCACAAGTAATACCAGTTTCTCTCAACATTTAAGTTTTTATTTAGCGCTAACCTTCTCAGTGACGGTCATCTCACGGGAGATCTGTTGTGCTTCCTGGCTGATCTGCTGGGCGTTGAGGGACGTGCGAGGCAGAAGCACAGTCGATATCTGGCCGCACACTTCACAGTCTTGGCTCCATGACCTGAGAATATTTAGCTACATAAGCCAAGCATATCAAATTTCAGCAACTGTAGCCAAAGTATTGTCATGAAATCCGGATAAAACTACAGGAAAAGCATAGACAATACAATACACCTAACTGCAAACATCAACTCCATGAGCAAACATTTGATTAGTTAAAAATTTCCAAGAAAGTACAGAAAAAATAACAGTTATTCAGTCCTACACTGCTTCAAAGATTTTGTTTCATATGGCATCACACCTCACAATTGACAAGTCAATATAAATTCATTAAACTTCACTACAATCGCATATGATGAAAAAAACGAATATGATTATCATGGACTAAACAGATGTTAATGATACCACATTCAACACCTAGCATGATATGATCCTACATGTGAACAAATAATTCAACAAGTTTTAATGTCAAGAATGAACATAAATTTTGAACTAAAGAAGGGAATGTATTCAGAGGTGCATTATTCTCTCAACATGTCACAATGATACATTAAGTATTAAAGAGCTTGACTGACTTCTTGGCCAAGATTCTTCGCTCAGCAGGCGAGTACTGCAGGCCAGCTATTGTGCCCAGACCACTGCTGGGCATGTAACCAATGATGGCCAGAAGAGCTGTGCGGATACTCCAAGATGGCCGCCATGATTCTGGATGATATCCGCTTATGGACAGGCAGATCTTCTTGTTGGTTTCAAAGCGACCATTTTGCTGCAATAAAAATTAATGCTAGAGCAGAAATATAATTAGTTATCTAAACAAAGATCAAGCAATTTCACAATGATAGAAGTTCATCACAAAATCTATTTATGACAACCAAATTTCTAATTGAGATCACCTAAAGCCAGAAATATCTAATGGAATTCTTAAAAACGACAAGCAAAGAAGTTAACATATAAAATTATAAATTTAACTGAAATGAAAAAAATTAATACCACTAAATTCAAGGGGTCATGCGCAGTAATTATTAAAAGAAATACAGTAAAAACAAGAGAAATTTGTTGACAAATCCAGGGTTTACAAAAATTTGAAAGGGTCACATTAGATGATTAGAGGTGACATGACATTCAAGTGAACAACAGCTAAGTAAGCAAAAAAATCATAATGAAGCAGAACAAAGGCCCCATGAAATTGGTATACATAGCCAGGCTGTATAGCATAGCAAAATCTGCAATATTCATTGAAGAAGGATTTATAATATCAAAAAGAAAGTCATTTACTTTTTTTGGACATGGAATAAAAAAATTGCCCCCAATGAAAATTTTGTAGGATTCAAACTGTCATGTAACTGACTAAACAATGAACTGATGTGGCACTACGAATATGATAACCTAGAAATTAGAGTGTATCTTACAGTTATGAAAATAATATCTGGTGGTTTCATAGGGTACTCGCTGGGGAGGATAATGCGTCCATGGTAAATGCCTTCCTCAAATTCTGTGTTGACTGGACCTCTTAGGGTAAAATGCCACTCAAACAGATTGTCTTCCAGTGGTTGGGCAAAATACTCTTCAGTTGGTTTGTGCAACTCTTGAGCCTCTCGCAGAAGACGTTTCACAGCTGTAAAATAAAGAAAATGAGCAACACTTGGCAATTTATTAATAAGATTTTAATAGCAAGCCTTCATAGAAAATGCATGTTGTGATGACAAGAGCAAAGCTAATGGCAGTGCAATCATAATTGACACCTTGCAATTAGTAATCAATCAAATTCTTTACATTGAAAACAGGACTTTTCATAAAATAAATACCTTCCACAAACATTTGTTTTGTCAGCTCACAGAATAATTTGCATAATAAATAAACTTTTTCAAAGAAATGTGCCTTTAGCAGGTGTAACACATTAAACTGATTCTAATGAACCTAAGTAAGGAACACCCATAAAAACACATTTACAGTAGAACCTCAATTAGCAAAGGCTCCTTGTTAATGAAAAAATCATTAAACAACAAAAAATTTTGATTATATTTACCTCACTCAGTTAAAAAAAAATTCCATTAAAAAATTAGTGCATCATTGGTCATCACAATATTGTGCAGAGAATGTCATAGATAGAATTGTGCACTGGGCAACATAAAATGAAAAGTAATTAACCTAAACTAAGATTTATTTCTCTAAAAAATATGATGATTGTCACTAGAATATTCCTTTCTGTTTCAGGTATGTTTTTACTATCTTCTTATTGTAATGGGGAATTCACTTGACCCAATTAAAATGGAGTGAAATTACAATCCATCCTGTAAGCATACAGATACATAAAAGTGCTATACGGCTGCTGATATGAAGCTTGCAGTGGACAAGGTTGTTGTAAATGCTCAATGGCATGTTCATGGATACAGTAATATCACATCAATAATACGGTAATGTATGGATATGGTAATATAGGTATCAATTAAGGAAAAACAAGTAAAAATCACAGAAAATGTCATTTATTATACATTTACAAAGGAAAAGAATGATTACAGATTACTGTTAGTAATAACGTAGATGAGTACACTCTGCATGCTTCAAACGTTTTAAAGTTGAGTTTTATTTCAAGTGTCCCGGATTGCCCCGTTCCCAGGGGTAATTCAGGATGCTTTTATTTTGCATGTGGCACCTTACGAATAGCATATGGAATTTTTTTAAAGATGCCATGCAATAGCCCTTGCAGAGCCTTAAAATGAACCCAAACTAGTTTATGAAATGTTTCATGGTAAGAAGTTATCAATGAAAAATGCTCAAAACCGTCCCTTATAACCCTGTTTGATGGTAATATTGATGGCACAAGTTGTGTAAATTTTGGGCCAAAAAAATTAGCACATAGATCATAAATGTTTTTTTTTTTGGTCTTGGGAGTCAGGACAATGGAAATAATTCATTTTAATGCCACAAATGAAATAAATATTATTTTGATTTTACTCAATTGTAAACTTTAGAAAGTGGTAGATAAAATTCTTCAGATAGCTTTTTATCAAAGTGAAAAACAATACTAAGAAGCTCAATCAATGGATTCTGCAGATTTTCCAGTTTGGCAGGAGCCCTTAGTAAGGATTGTAATTTTTTCTACCTATTACTAAAATCCCTCAGCTCCGAAGTGAGAAGCTTTCAATACATTTGGAAACCCAATCCACCCAGTTGAGCACTTTTTATTTTAGCAACAGCTACCATAGGAGGTCATTCATCTAGTGGGAATCCCACAGTTCTGATAATGGAAGGAAAGTGGCAGACATGTTTTGAAAAGTAGATATTTTCCACGGTCCACACCAATTCCATGCCATGCCTTAGTCACCTTACAGATGTCTTTCTTACATTACAACAATTACATTCAGAGAAGTCAAGCAGAACTCAGAAGCCACCCATGGTTGCGAATGAGACCAAAATGCACCTGCTTTGCTTTGTGGCATCTCCAATTTTTTTCAGAAATGCCATTCAATAGCCCTAAAAATATGGGAATTACCAATTGGAACAGGGTAATTCGGACAATTGAAATAAAACATTATTTTAAAATGATTGAAACATGCAGTGTACCTACCACTCGAACATTACTAACAGTACTCTGGAGTCCTCCTCTTCCTTTGTGGATTGTGTAGATGTAGAATAAATGACATTTTCTGTGATTTGTACTCATTTTACCTTNCTGTAAGCTTACAGGACTGGGCTCGTAATTTCACACCATTCTAATTCGGTCAAGTGAATTCAATGTAACAAAAAAATTGTAAAAAGCATATATATACCTGAAAGAGAAAGGAATATTTTAGTGACAAACATCCTATTTTTTGGAAAAATAAATCATAGTTTAGGCTAATTACTTCTCATTCTATGTTGCATGGTGCACAATTTTATCTATGACATCCTGTGCACAATTTTGTGATGACCAATGATGCATAAATTTTTCATCAAGTGAAATTTTTTTGCTGAGCAAGGTAAATGCAATCAAAATTCTTTGTTGTTAATCAATTTTTTTAACAGGTGCATTTGCTAACAAAGATTCTACTGTAAATGCATTTTAGAGGTATCCCATATTACCCCAGTGGACTGAGGGGAGTGTCCCTTATTACCCTGTTGTGCAGAAGTGGCAGCCATTTTGTTTTGGTTTGAGATATAAAAATTCCGTCAGTGATGTTTTAAAGCCAACATTTGCTGCAGCTTTTTTTGCAAGCAAAAATTTTTAATACCTACTACAAATGTTTTTTTTTTTTACTACAGACTAGTTCAGAGCAGGTCGGGATAAGTCCTACTTTTTTCTGAAATATTGCGGCTCTAATATCATTTAATTTCAGTAGGTATGAAATCTCGTGGCTCTAACGTCATGTATTTTTGTTTCATTTAAAAAATCGCAGTTTGCACTTTTCAAACATGTCATTTCATAAAATTTTCAATTTCCGCAATCAGCAGTAGTTCAATGCTCCTGCCAAAAAATCCTGCAGAACGTAATGGTAACAAGTCAAGCCAAAACGTTTTGTTGAAGTTTGCATGGTTGCGGTCATGTCAGAGCAGTCAGACTGCATTATCACATGTTCAGTTGCCACTAAAGTAAAGACAAATATTACTTTTGCCGTTTCTCGGGTAAAATTAGAGATTTGGGGTAACAAGTGCAGTGCACAGCACAGCACAGGACATTGTAAATAAGTGGGCAGCTCAAAAAAGGCTCTTCATGGCCCAGGGTGCAGTAAGTGGTTGAATATTGCAAGATCTTTGGCTATGTGTCAGTAGCAAAATTTACCCCTTCAGAGGATCTTGCCAACACATTTGGATTGAAATTTTTGCATTTTAGATATTCGCCAGTCTTTGGCCAACTATTTAGAAAATAGTTGAAAATCTAAAAGACTGCAAGCACACACTCACAGTAAAGCTTGTCAGCATCCTGATACAGTAAGGTATCAGGATGCAGTGAAGCTTGTCAGGAAATCATTTGCAATGTGAGTATCAGCAAGTGTTGCAGTGCGCGGAGAGTAAGGGATATACTATCAAAGTTGTTAGCAGCATTTTCTTATTAAAAATTACCTGGCAATGCATCTTAAAAATGGCTGGCAACATTTTGGGCTAAAAATCCATATCTTGGCGATGCAGCTTGTGAATTCTACACACTGGTTCATGGCCAAGATAAAAGATTTTATTTCCGAGATTCATGGCTCAAGGAAAAGGAAGCATGGCTGGCAAATCCATAAGACCACGGCTCAAAAAATCCAGTTGTGGCTTACCACCAATTTCCAGAGGTGGGCAGTAGCACACTACATGTAGCGGCCGCTACATTTTCAGTAGCGGTAGCGGCTCTACATTTAAGGCAATGTAGCGGTAGCCCCCGCTACATATTTAAGTAGCGATACGAGGTTTTGCCGCTACAGCGCTACTGCTACATTTATAGACAAAGCCTTTAGATTTTACTTAAGGGGACCGGCTACCCTCTAACAAAACTTTTTTGTTTACAGACGGATCGTTTTGAAACTTTGTACACATATGTAAAACAGAAATCTAAGACCTTTTTGTTCATGTAAATTTAAAAAAATGAAAGAAAACGTGGAATTAATGGAAAACGGCAAATAAGGGGTACTCTAAGTTTATAACTTTTGCAAATCACATTCTACAATGTCTCGCGAGACACATATCATTCGATTTGTAATAACAATATTTAGCGACTGTGGAGCCCTGATTTTTCATTTTCATCGTTTTTTGTATTCGCGTTCTTCCCATTTTTTCACATTTTTAGCAGCCCCAACCCCTCCCCCTCCCATATATAAGTCAAACCATGCACATACTAAAAAAAAGCCTTTAAAGTCGCTAGGTATTGTTTTTACAAATCGAATGGTATGTCTCTCATTGCCGTAGCTTGAAAACTGTTAGAGTTATAATTTTTTTAAGATGGCTTTTTTGGATTTTTAAATTGTTCAGGGGAGCCAAACAAAGTAAAATTCATTGAAAACAGAAGAATATGCCCAAAATGTCTTGATATTGTAGCTCGCCCGTTACAATCTAGTGGATGTAGCGGTAGCGGTAGCGCCCGCTACATTTAGAGCATGTAGCGGTAGTGGCGCTACATTTCAAAGTAGCACTGCCCAGCTCTGCCAATTTCCAAGTAGATATATTCCAAGCCTGGCACAAAGCTTAGCAGAAAACTTTTTCAAAATATCACTTTTTATTATTTTTTCAGGGGTTTTTTAGAGCTAATAAATATTTGATTTCTCAACTTCCTTTATAGTTTATGCTACTATAGTACATAGATAGGAAAAAGATTGAAGTTTACACCACTATTTTTAGTTTGCAATATTTTTATTAGTTTTGCTGCATTAACATTTCTACACCGACCACCGTGACAGACGGCTGTCCTGATTTAGCCCGCCTGTCCATTATTACCCCATTTGACGGCCACTGTGCAGAGTGAACGAAGATTTAAAGACCTACGGCGATGCATTATCGGCAAAATTTTCGCCTTCAGAAGATCTTGCCGACACATTTAGATTGAAATTCTTGCATTTAATATATTTCTCAGTCTTCAGCCAACTATTTAGAAAAAAAGTAAGGTTTCCGGTACGTTGGATGGATTACGATGCAGTGAAGCTTGTCCGGAAATCAGTTGCGATGAGTTCCCGCAAAAAATGTAAACAACATTTTTTAGATTGCGTAGTTTCGGTCGCATTAGAGCGGTCAGACTGCTTTATTACTTGTTCAGTTGACACTTGCTATACAATCAGACTGTTTTTAGGATAAAATTAGTTATTTGGGGTAACACATGCATGCAACATTGAACCTTGTAAATAAGTTTGTGGCTTGTAAATAGTTTTTCATTACTCAGCGTAAATGGCTTTTCAGTAAAAACTACCAGGCGACACATCTTTAAAATAGTTGGTGACGCTTTGGGCTTAAAAACCCATATATTGGCAACGCTGCATCCACGCTCCACCCTCTGCACCCTGGGCTATGGGCTACATTCTAGTCTCTACAGCCTATGTCCTATGAGCCTAATAAATGCTGAAAAACCATTATGTTATTATATCATGTGTCATTGAATATTTGAATTTAAGGTAGGCCTAGTTGAGAATGTTATCAAAGATTACTTGTCTGCTCACTCTGCTACCATGGTCAGGAAGATGTGCCAGGTGCGCGGGAATTTATTTTGTCATTTTAACGACCTGCGCGGTGCGCCGTACTATGCTGGTAAAAAAATGCGCCGTGCGCCGTACTTTAGAAAGCTAAAATAGTTCTACTATTTTAGTCGACAATATACGCAACTCGCGAGTATATTGACTACGCGAGTCGAACTGACAATAATAAAATGTAAGACATGTCCGGGTTACTTCTGACTCTTCCGCTTGTCCGCCTTGTCGGATACGGAATGTACGGTAATCGTAAAGTGTGGCTATTATACATACAAAATGTTAACAGACGGTGTTCAGTGTTGCCATATGACTTAGGAGAAAATTTCTTCTAAAATAAAGTTCTAGATTTCTCATTCACCAAATTTCCATATCAAGAAAAATCATATATTATTGAAAGATAATTAAAGGCATACTGTACTGACTACTGACTACTGAGTAATGTGAGTATTACACCTGTTCCTCTACAAACTGCTCCTGCGCGGCAGCGCGACGTAGAATTGATGGCCAGGATTGCGCGAACACGTGCGCAAAGAGAATCAATTTTCATTACATTGCGACAACTGTGCACAGCAATAGCTTAAAAAAGTGAAAATGCGCAGGAAAATTCACCGAAAACATACATCATCCTGAGTGTGGCTCTGCTACAATAAAGTTATATATACTCAATGCAATTAACAAACACTGGCCTGCCTGCTTGATTCCAAAGATTAGGTAGGTACCTACCTAGCTTAGGCTAGCTAGCCTAGCCAGGCTAGCCTACCCTCTGAAGTCATAACTCTCATGATTACAAGAGAACATAAGTGATGTTTACAATTTTTTGAATAAAAAGTGAACACAAATGTATTAGCATCATAGCATGCAACTTGAAATTTACACCTTAAAATATATACAATTCTGATAATTACCTGGACATCTTGTATTGTAGCCTAATTCCATCTCTTCTGCTCGCGTGATGACGTAATCAAGCAGTAGAATGCTTAGCCTTATGCAGCAGCAGTACTTCAGGCTCCGTAGACGCAAACGGTTTACACTTTAGCTTTACGTTAGTCGGTATACAAAAATTATCTACGTTATTATTAATTCTTTCTTCCTTCCCTGAAATCAAAAGTAGCAACTTACGTAATTTAAGCTGAAAATGTCGCGTGTTTGTCTACTTAATCACTGTATGACTGTAATGTATTGTCACTTTGTCAGTTGTCATGAATCTGCAGTGTGCACTAAGCCTGACTTACTGACTAAGGACACTTGTCACTAATGACGACTGACAAAAGTAATTGAACGTGTTACATAATTTTGGAAACGCGTCCGCTTCCGTTTTGAAATTGTTTACGCGTCATTATTATAAATTTACTGTTGATATTCCTATTATCAATTTAATTCGTCATTATTTGGAGACCTAACAGTCATATTGTTTTTAACGCAGGATTATTATTTCAGAGCGATGAAGCTGTCGTTTGTCGTAGTCGTGCGTCCAAACCTAGAGTTTGGAAACGCTGTGTGGTCACCAGAAACTAGAAAAGGACACAAATTTAGTCGTGGGGGTTCAAAGACGTGCAACAACAAGGATAATTCCGGGCTTAAAAGGCAAGCCTTATGAAGAACGATTAAAGATTATGAATCTTCCAATCCTCTGTTATCGACGTCTGCGTGGTGACCTCATTGAATTTGAAGTATACAGGTATACCCACTGTTTATACAAGGTCCCAGAAGGATTACTAGAATTTGGAACAAGAACCATCACCAGAGGCCACGGCCATAAACTAAAAAAACTGCGTTTTAACACATTCATGCGACATTTCTTCTCGCCTCGAGTCACCGATATGTGGAACAGCCACCCTGACAGCATCGTTGACGCTCCGAGTATGAACGCCTTCAAGAACAGACTAGACGAAGCTTTGCAGGAGCATATGTTCAATCTTGAAATGCCTAGCGCCTTACGAGCCTTGCAATAAGTTCAGCAGCTATCTCAATCAATTCGTCAGTTATGGAAAGATCGGGTTCAAAAGGCCGGATTCTTTATGGAATCAAGTCACGAAAAGTACATGAATCGGCAACAGGCCAGGGGCCTATTTCTTCAGTGGCGACACTTCTATTCTATTCTATAACGTGCTTAAGAACACATTTTTACAATTTTCTATGATCAATATTTATCAATTTAACAGCCAAATTACGATTGGCATAGTGGTCAAATCGACATCTATGCTTTTGTGGTTTTATTTGTTGTTATTGACAGTTGAAAGACTAAGAAAAGCATCACATTGTTCATTTGTTTTAGAAGACGAAGAATACTGAAAGACAGGATCACTACGAGTACGAAGCATTCAAGACACTAAAGAGACAAGTGCTGCAGAGGTTGGGGAGCCAGTATTGGAGGTATGTTGAAAGTAACATCACGGAGGAGCAGGCTGAGCAGAAACCAATGCTTTTTGGTTTTGTGGTTAATCCAGATCGAATACATATCGTTGCATATCTTCCCTCAAAGAAGCAGGAAAGCTTGTCACGCACGACAAAGACAGAGCAGAAATTCTAAACCGGCAGTTTCAGTCCGCATTCACTAGCCGTGAGAATTCTTCAGAAGAGGAGTTCAAGACGAGGTGCCCGGTGACACCGCTGGACGGCTCATGGAGCAGGTACACGTTTCGATCGCTTGAGTTGAGACTGCTTCGTAATATCCCGTCCGGACCTGTTGGTCCGGACGGGATCAGCCTTCGTGTATTAAAGGGGTTGGCGGCAGAATTAGCCCCGTCGCTCCCCCTTCTGTACCAGATATCCCTTGATGCTGGAGTTGTGTCTGCGGACTGGAAGGCTGCGAACGTGTGCCCCGTGTGTAAGAAAGTTAACGGGGCTGAGGACAACAGAACGACCAGTATCCCTTAGAACGCTGGCCAGTATCCCTTAGAACGCTGACCAGTATCCCTTGTAAGATCTTGAAGGATATACTCGTCAGTGAGATGAATGCCTACAGTGAGAACCACAAAATTCTCTTTAAAGAAAAACATGGTATACGAAGGAGCAACTCCTGTGAGACTCAGATCTCATACAAGAATACTTGGATGACCTTGCAGCGAGGGAACAGCAATGGAAGATGTCCTTCCACTCTTATGGATGCTCCACGATCCATTTGAACCGCCGTAGTACGACTCAGGAGCGTGGATACATGCTTCATAGTTGCAGACTGATGGAGAGGTTCTAAGTGCAATACCAAGGAGTCACACTAAAAAAGAAGCAGAAGTGAGCCCCACAAATTTCTTACATCGCCAACAAGGTAAACTGTACCCTGGGCTTCATCCGACGAAACGTTAGGATCACCTGCAAATTCATCAAAGCAGCTGCCTATTAAACATTAGTCTGCCCCACACCGGAGTAAGTCATTTGCGTGTGGGAGCCTCAGTAATACCGCAGACGGTTTTGCCACCCTCGAAAGAGTGCAAAGTAGAGCAGCCCAGTTGGTATCGCATCGTTTTTGCCGGGCTTCCAGTGTAGATAACATGCTACACGACCTAGGATGACCAACGTTGCTAGCCAGCATGAACACCAGTCACCACCCCACCGTCAGCTGCTCAATGCAGAATGTCAGGAAGTCCCACGCTCAAATGTATGTCATCCCCTTCAGCAAAACTCAATACCGCCTGATGAAGAATTTCCTCTGAACCATATCCGAATGAAACCAGCTTCCTTTGGACGTAGTCTAGGTGCCATCGTCAGAAGCCTTTCAGGCAAGGGTTGCCTTCCACTAAATATAATGAAATGCATAAATTCAGAATCAAGAAGGCGCGAATTAACACTACACAATAACATAGGTATAGGTTTGATTGAAGACCAATGCGTACTTTTTATTAACAATTTTCTTATTGTTTTTTTTATATGCCGAACGAAATTTCTTGCAGGTGCTTGGAGATCAAAAAGCAGATTACTAAATGACACTTTACTGGAATGCGACGTTTCGAATATATCAAATTCATTATCAAGCAAGTGAAGAGTTATTACAACGCTTAAAATTTAAATTTGGACATGACATAAGTTGATACAGAAAGTATCGTAGATACGGTTTAAAATCGAAAATTAAATTAATCCGAGAATAATTTCAACGTCCTGAAGAATCTGGCGGTTTGCAAATTGATAGCAGGAGACTCGTCCTTGATGATGAGAGCCTCCGCTATCGACAGTCTCGTATCGTCGGGGCACCGCATGATACTTCGTCTCGAACGATGACGATGTCGACATATCGACAGTAAATTAAGGTCGGGTTTAATCAGTGCATCCAACAATACACGGTTTTCGAGTTCGCACAGGTAGAATTCGGCACATGTTGGAACACGAGGATTGCCCATTGCTACACCGTTAATTTGCTGGTATATTTTGTTATCTGGGTTCTGAAAAGGCAATTCTGAAGTACAGAGGCGGAGGTCTTTCTGGTTTTCAATCAAACCTGTATAAGTGAAGAATTTCTGCCAACTACACTAAGTGTAGCACACTCATCAGCCTTTAGCTGCTGGCTACCTTCAGTATAGTTGAAGATTCAACTGTGGTTTTTTGAGTTAACAGGATCCATTTTATTTCCCGCAGCTTTATTTTTCCTTCACTATGTTAACTTTACAAGCTATCGACAGAAGACGTGTCGTGTGCTACAAGATTGATCTATGGCCAGTTCGAGTGGCTAGATTTGAACCTGTCTTTACCATCTTTGTATCCTTTTTCAGAGTGCGCAGAAAATGTTCACCTATCGATGCGTCTTGGACGCTTTTCATAATATCCGGTAACCGCCGCCTCCCAGTAGTGCTCCTGTTACTTCAAGCGATTTCCAAACTGTTCTTGTACCTACAACATCCTGCAATTAGTGCTTAACTTTATTAGCTGCAAGTTCGATCGGCAAGTCCTGCCGATCAAAAATAATACACCAGGAGCGGCTTAACCCTTTCGTGACTGACGGGACTTCTCGATCCTAAACCACATACAGTAGGTACGAATAGCATTAACACTGTTTGGATTCAACTCTAGGTGCAGGAGAGTTTTCAATCCGGGAGGCTGCTTCAGACTTCCGCTCTGCTACTGCTACCGCTCATCTCCATATTTTCTACCTTTTTCTGCTTTTTGGTCTCTACCATGTCGTATTTTTTCAATGCCATGAAGCACCATATCAAATCAATCCACCCAAATTTCCAAGCCTTCTTCTTTCGCTTTGGGCAAGCAAGAAATTTCGGTCGTCTGGAATCTTGATTGAATTTAATGCATCAGCATGCGCAACATCGAAGAGGCCATGAAGTTTTGAGCTAAATTAATTTATTCTCTTTCAGCTATTGAGTTTTCGTTCGTCTACTGGCTGCCTTTTTTAGACCCTGCCTTTGCTTGTGCTGCTCTTTTATCTTTTTGATGATATGATACAGTTGTCTAGTGGGAATTATTCCTTTCGCCCAATTATTCATTACTTCTTGAGCAGTAGTGGCAGCACTTTCTTGAATATTTCTCTTGTCTAGTGGGTGTAGGTAAAAAAATCTGATCAGAACCTACCGATTTGATGGTAGCTTGAACCTTGTTATACTTTCGGATGTGCCTCTAGCAGCCAAGTGCCACTAGTGTGTTTAAGGGCACTAGGAAATGGAATAGAGTTCTGCATTATAGAATAGAATAGAATAGAAGTGTCGGCGTTGAAGAAATAGGCCCATGGCCTGTTGCCGATTCTTGAACTTTTCGTGACTTGATTCACAAGGGATCCGGCCTTTGGAACCCGATCTTTCCATAGCTGACGATTGATTGAGATAGCTGCTGGACTTATTGCCTGTGGACTTGCCTTTCAAGCCCGGAACTATCCTTGTTGCGCGTCTTTAAACACTCTCTACTAAATTTTTGTCCTTTTCAAATTTCGGTGACCAAACGACGTTTCCAAACTCTAGGTTCGGGCGCACGACAGCAACAAACAACTGCTTCATCGCTTCTGCATCTAGGAACTCGAAAGAGCGTCTGATCAGTCCAAGTCGTTTATTGGCTTTATTACCTTGACCTTCAATATGCTTAGAAAATTTCAACTCATTGTCGATATTAACTCCTAAATCCTTTTCCATTGTCAACCTCGACATCATCACTCTGTCGTTGCAACCGTGTCTTCTCATACGAATAGAATAGGCCCGAGAACGCTTCCTTGTGGCACGCCGCTGCGCACTGAAGCCCAGTCTGATACGGACCCATTAACCCTAATCGCGTAGGGTGAGCTGGAAAATGCCCTTTATTTTCTAATACCCACCGTAAAAAAGTAACCACGAATCTCACAGCCTTGTCTATCGAGATACTCTTCAACTGATGTCTATTCGTGGTGTTGGATCAATAACATTTTAACTATTTTGATCTATAATGATAAGGTAGATCATTTAGCAAATCACGTATAAACATTTGCTACCGAGTAAGCGTACTCGCGTGCCGGCAGCGAGCTACGCCCCTATCGGACTCACGATATCAGTGTCCAAC